TGTCTGTCTGTCTGTCTGTCTCTGTAGGAACATGCTTAGTTTACGATGAGGGAGCACTCGTTCCGATGAGCAGCAATGTTTCCGCTGTCTTTTGGTCCACGGCTGGAGCACTTGCCGTCGCTTTTTCCCAGAGGAGCATTCCGGTCGGAGCGGAGCTTACCTCGTGAAGATTGTCCGGCCCATCTACAAGGCTGCGATGAATTGTTTCTGAATAAGGATTCCCTGAGAAAGGCCCTAAAACGATGTTCACCTATCTGCCTGGCAACACTACTGCGTTCAAAGGTTCGGCGTAATAAAGAAATTCGGTCCCAGCGCCCGCGGCTCCCTCTGTGGTTCGGGGTCCCGATCTTTCCACAGCCCCACGGCAGCCGCATCATAAAATCGAATATCTTGGCACTTCCCAACTTGCTGAAGCCCGCTCCCACCACACTGCCGTGTGGGTTGAGTGTTTGGGGTTGGGGCAGGAGCCACACTGTCAAGGGCATTCTGGACCTAATGGGGTGATCGTCAGGAGCTTCAGGAGTGCTCCTGGAATGTTTGTGTAGGGCTTGGTCTGAAAGATGAGCTTTCGCTGTTTGGGGTCCAAGCTGTCGTAGCCACTGTTCCCAAAAGCCTCCAGACCAGCGGCTGCCCCTCTACAGAAGAGGTCATCTTTGACGAGCATTATGTCAAAGTTGGACCAGAGAACCCGACGCAGCGGCAAAAGGATGAGACTTGGCCTGCATCTGTGGCCTCGCTGTATGTCACCGACGGCGGCCGTAAGACGTTTTGGTCCATGACCGAGGAGAAAGTGCTGAAGGATGGCTATGCTACATACCTGCCGCCGGATTGTGCCCTGGAAGAGATGTGTCAGCTCTTCAATGCCCTTCGAAGCTGCCCATCGCCAGGTGCGAACCACGACGACTGGACCTGGACTTAGCTCAAGCGCCGCTGTGTGCAAGTTTGTAGAGCTGGCCTTGATGGATCAAGGAACGAGCTCTTCCAGGATCCCAAGCGGCTTCAAGCAGCTCTGCCGAGCCTCAGCTGAGGGAATTTGTCCGGCCGATCTCCGCTGCCGCTGCAAATCAAAGTGCATGGCTGCCTTGCAGCTGACTTGGATGGGTTGGGACAGATGAATACACGGGAAGTGGGATGGTGGAACGAAGGAATCTCTTCAATCAGCCCAAACATCTTCGGTACGAGGCGCTGAAGAAGGCAGGGCGACTAGCGAGTGCATTGCAAGGGAGCTGTCGTGGCCTTCCCTCGTAGGTGGACTGGGCAAGTGCCCTGTACTCGATGAATGTGAAGACACACAGAGAGATTCACTCGTGGCAGCTGGGCAATTTTCAGAGGGCTGAGCTGTGCAGAGTCCGGTATGGAAGCATGACCGGTACCAGAGTTCAGGGGTTGCATGCGCGGTTCGCCGATGCTTTGAAGTCAATGTGATGTTCGGGCTGGTGTGCGCTTAAAGCACCAGTACGGACCAGTGGCCTGCATCTTCCAAAACCGCCTTATGGTGACCGACGTCCAAGGTGGGGAGTCTTTGCAGCTACTCACCGCTTGTGGTTCCTGCATGTCTTGTGTCTCGGACGACAAGCGTGCTTCTTTGAACATTGCACCAGCTTGCCTCGCCAAGCCTTACTACCCCGCAACAACGTCATGGCCCCAACCGTTTCTTCAGCTCTCCCAAACCCTCACCTTGCGACATGGAGTCCTTGTACCATGCTTGCTCTATTTTTTGGGGGGCTGCACTCTGACAGACGTGTATTGAAATTGACGTGTGCAACACAGGTTCTCACTCAAAGTTTGCCCAATCCCATTAAGAAAAGCGCAGCATCAGGCTCTATGCCTTGTCGATGTGGTGGGTTTCTTCGCGGACCTTCCACGACCCTGGCTCAGGCGCGTCGTGAGTCAGCAGCATGTAGGCTTGAATTTGTTGCATGCAACATTCCGAATATCTATTGCCCGCGCATTCACATGGACCGCACTCGCGCGTTCTGTCGGTTTGTGTCTGAGTCTAAGCAATCCTGTGCTTGGTCAGCTGGCGACTAGGGGTGTTCCGTTGTGCTCAAGCTGTGGAGGTTGGTCGACGCCGCTGGGTGGGGGCTCGCCATTGGTTTGCCTCTCTGCCATTGGTCTAGTGGATCCTCGGACAGAAGCAAAAACCTTCCTGGAGATCGGGCTGTAGCTTGGACGGGGCTGTAGCATGTCTCCGGCAAAGTGGAGACAAGTCTGCTTTAGACTGAATAGTTTTGTGAGATCCTTTGCTGCTTGTCAGATAGTCAGATCTGCTGTTCCTGGCCTGGGCGAAAGCCGGTGCAGCCTTACAGTAGTAGATTCGTTGTTGGGGCACTTACATCGAATCTATCGGATATGAAGACCGAAGCACTGCTTAAGCACTTTCGTGCCAGAGAAATTGGAAGCAAGGTGCCTCTGCACCTGGCATTCTACTGGATGAGCCGCATCTCGGGCTCCAAGTTTCCTGTGTTGGTTGCTGCAGTATGACAGGACTTCAGAATGCATGCGTCGAGTGGCTGGGGCCGAACGGGAGGATGCTATGCCCAGTTGCCATGATTTTTGAAATTCCCCTTGCACGACCACGGAAGCAAGGGCTCGATGGCCTTATGTCACACCTGGCAGTCTCTTATGGAGAGAACCCTAAACGCTAAACCCTTCCGAGCCCTGGCCAGCAAGAACGCGGTTCGAAGGCTGGTTCACCACTGGCAGCGCCTTGCGGCCGAACTACCGCGAGGGAAGCACTTGCCAGAAGATCCGGACCCTGCTCTTGAATGCGCCGCGTCCCAGAGTTCAGGTGTACGGAATCCGAGATCCAGACTCTTCCGGGCGTTTTCTAAGGCCGCATGAGCTCTCCGACACTCCGTTTCCTTGTATTTCCTGTTTCCTGTGCCTTTCCTGTTCATTCTTCCTACGGCGATAGCAACGCCTGAGCTGAGTAGCGCAGAGTTCAGCATCTAGCTAAAAAGCATCGTAAGCACCAGTTTCATAGGCCACTAAGCATGGTGCTTCGTTTCCCAACGGCCACGTGTTTATGACTCTATAACGCCTATAGACGGTTCAATATGAGCTCTACACTCGCGTGGTACAAACCCTCCAAGCCTGGCCCTGCTTGGAACTTGGGAACTTTGCCGTGTCTCTTTCTCTCCAAGGCTTTGCTGCAATTGAGGCTGCTTCTTCTGCTCCTTGGCTGCAAATATAATAGAATAGAATAGAATAGAATAGAATAGAATATAATATAATATAGTATAATATAATATAATATAATATAATATAATATAATATAATATAATCAGCTCATGTCCCAGCGTCCTCCACTGGGTTTACAGGATTGACCTCGCGGCCTGTACATGGACATGAGAGGGCTCCTCAACCTCGAATCCTTCAGGATGATCGATGTCGGCGTCCACTCCGCTGTGATCACATGGTCACATCATATCACACACACACACATCCCATCGCAAGATCCATGAGGTTCGTTCCTGTCGCCACCTTTCTGTGGGTCCGCTGGTTGGATGCTTTCGGTGACGACGAGTGGCTCAAGGCCAAACCGCACCTTGAGATAAGAGACTTCCTGGAAAACCAGAGATCGCGCTGTAACTCGGAAATAGTCACAACGCGTGTTCTATGTTTCAATGCTGTTGTGTGAAAGACGACAATGCACTACATGACTGTATGATACAATATGCTACATATATCCAATTCCCGCGATTTGAGCCCGGCGTCCTGGGAGTTTGTTGCGACGCGCTGGGCAGGTGCACCCTTTCCTTTCCTTGAACACGGCCCTGCAAGTGCACGTCTTCGTATCTTGTCGGCATGAGGATGTTCCTTGCAGGGGCCATGTCTAAACCCCGATGGAAGTGATAAACCGTGGGAGAAGAAACATCAACTTTTCAAAACCACCCCCCCTCAGCTGAACTACAGAATTACCTGCTTTGAACGGCTTGTACACATAGTAACAGCTTCCCACGGAATCGCTATTGTGCCTTCTTTCTGGCTCCGCCCTGGGCCTTGAAGCAGCCTCGTGCCTCATCCTAGTTATAGTTATCCCGCCGCCATCCTTTGACCATCTTTGACCCGTATCCGGGACCCAAAGCCCAACACCTAAGTGCCAGGTGCCAAGAACGCTTGCTCGTTCGCTTGAAGTTGGGATGCAAAGGACCAGGAACTGACGAAAAGAAAGCACGGGCTCGCAAGACGCTCTCAGGTCTGCAGCTTTGGAGCACTTCTGATCCTCCTGCAGCCCTGCGCAAGTGGGGCCCCGTTCCGTCCAGGTTGGGTTTAAAGCTGTGTGCGCTTGCGGCTTTGAACAATCAAGATTAAGCATGAAGCTCCAGACTCAAGTCCCAAGATGTCCCAAGTCCCGCCCAGCTACGCCAACACCGTGGACCGTGAAGGGGCTGCGCTGGCTCATCTGGCTGGTGATCCTGGCGGTGAAGGCTGGGTACTAGTAGCATGGCATATTGTTTCGAGGTTTGGGTCCTTAGCAGCCGTAGCAGATTTCACGTTTCTTGACTCCACCTGGTTGGAAATTCTCGAACTCTCCTTCAGGACGCTGTTGCTTGTCTGCATCGACATCATTGCCCGTGACCCGCAAGCCCTAAACCGGCGGGCCTGAGCCGTGAGCCTTCGAGGGTTCAAGCTAACGGGTGTCGGAAGGATGTATAAACAGCTGCTAGTTGATTACCAGAAGTCAACTGCCATCACTGCCCTTGGCAGTTCTTTGCGGGCCTTGGGGGCATTGCCGCCATCGAGAGGGCGACGGCTGAGTTGAAGGTGGGGCATGCAGTCTTCCCATGCAGTTGTTTTTGACGACGTCAAGACACAACTACAATGAACAAATGCATGAACACACGCATGTGCATGTGCAAATCAATCTCTATGTATATCTCTCTGTCTCGCTGTCTTCGTGTTTCTCCATCTGTCTATCTCTTTGTCTCTGTATCTCGCTATGTCTCTATCTCACTCCATCTCGCTATATCTCTCTCTACCTTGCTAACTACCTATCTTGTTTCCACATGAAGCAAGCGCTTGGATTCGACATCGACCAAGCGAACATGCTCTACATGAAATCTGCCAGCTTACCTTCTCCCAGACTTTGGGTAGACCGGCTTAGCTCCCGAGATCAGCCGCCTTGGACGTGAACCGATCGATGAAATTCCGAGCTTTGCCTTCGGCCCCAACTGGGACAAGGAGCTGGGGTGAGAGATTGCAGCCTGCGCTCTGTCGCAGCAAGTTGGTATTTAGTTCCTTGTGCTCATTCGTCCGATCTCATGGCACCGGTGCCGTTGATCTCAAGCTTCTCTCACCGAACTGGGGCCTTTGGAATCACTTCCGTTCCTTGTAGTTCTCGTCTGGGCCCGGAACCTGAGACCTCAGCCCGAAGCTACGCAGGACATTATCGAGTGGGTGGCACTTTGGGGCACTGGCCTGTTGTGCTATGTAGCAACTTGGTATCTCTTGCTTTCTTGTTCGTGAAGGACGAGGAGGAGGTGGACATGCAAGCGAGGAAAGTAAGCTGCTGGTGGGCGGTTAGGCCTTGTTGATGTTTTTGATGATGGTGATGATGTTGATGGATGTCGACTGCGATGATGGTGATGTTATGGTTATGTTGATGTAGATCTTGTTGATGGTGATGGTGAGGACCATTACGAATGGGCTTGAGCTTGGTCGTTGAGTCACTGCCATCGACCCATAAACCGACACTGTCATGGTTTCCTGAAGAGAGACGGGCAAGCCGGCAAACCTACGCTTTGCCCGTCAGCTCTCAGAGTCCTGGCTCCGACATGCCCCAAACATACCGCAAAGATTAGCTGCCATCGAAGTCCTGATTCAACAGTGATGGCACCAAAGCGAGCCAAGGCAGACACACAGTTCTGGTTCTGCTTGGTTTGCTCGGTCGTGGGCATGCTCTTGGCATTTCACCAGCGTTCATGGCGTCCTCTCCTCGGATCGGCTCGGGTCTTTGGGGGCCGCTGGGAAGTGGAGCAGCGGATGAGCTCTGAGGTGTACAGCAGCTGCTTACAGAGGATGCCTTGTCCGCTGTGCCCCAGCGCTTTGCAGAGCGAGCTGCTTGCTTGAAAGTAGCTACAAATTTGGCTGCACACATGCCTGCATTCATACAGCGACGGCCGACAACAAGGGTCTTGCACATGCTCTACTCCTTCAGCCTCAACCGTTGAAGGTCATCCTCGAAGCACCAGAGGGAAGACGAAACCGCCATAGGCTCGCGGAGGCCTCGGGCAGCTTGCAATTCGCAGTATGTAGGACTCTCCTCAAAATCAAAACATTTGCATTTTCGTGTTTAAAGTCTGTCAGTGCCTACACATCTGACGCTTGCCTGCCTGCCGGGCTGGCTGCTTTTCTGGCTGGCTGGCTGGCTGGCTGTCCGTCTGTCTGTTTATGTCTCTGGGTGTGTGTCCATGAATGCATTGATGCACGCATGCATGCATGCATGCATGCATGCATGCATGTATGTATGTCTGTATATGCCGTGTGTAATCATGAGCTGATGTTCGCAGAAGGCAGTTTGTTCTGGGGCCGTGGTTTCGCTCCCGTCCTCCACAATCTTTGCTTCCGAAGCTGAAGTTCACCCGCAAGCTTCCGAGCAGGCAGGCTCCCAACAGCCGGAGGTCCGAACAGTGCGTCCCAAACGACAGATATTATTAAGTTACTAAGCAATACAGGCAAGTGTTACTGGCATTATCAGTTCTGTCATGATGATCATGCTTAGCATGGCGGTGAAGTTGGTATTATTCGATCTACATTGTCTTACTCTTGCAACTCTAACTTCCTCCGCGACTCCGGCCGCCAGCGCATACAGACGGACAGACTAAACCCTAAACCCTACGCCCTAAACCCTAAACATCCCTATACCCATCCTAAACCCAAAGCCCTAAACCTTTTTTCAGGGCTCCGTGCCGGCCCCGCGCGCCACGGCAAACTCCCAGTGGTTTCAGAAGTTCTTCCCGGACCTCTGGGCCGGCAGCCCAGAAGTCTTCTGTTACGGGTTGGAGTCTTGTTACAAGCTGCGTGTATGCAAAATGTGCATATATATATATATATATATAATGCATATGTGTATGCACGTACATACATGTTTATGTTACCCCCTCCATGTACCCACGCCTCTCCCTTCTAAATTTAAATCTCAGCTTTCGGAAGGCGTGGGTCCTTGGGATACCCTTGCCCGAATCAAAACGATTCGGAAAAGATTCGGGTTTCCCGGCCCGCCCTATATGAGGTTCGGTTTCTAAATCATCCTGATGACCATAACGTCTAGTGTTTCCTGAAGTATACCAGTCATTATTATGTGCATCCTGTGTGTATTGCTTCAGGATATGCGAGCCCACCGACTTGAGACTTTTCCTCAACAATGTCCAAAGGGCATGCAAGTTCAAAGTTGGCTTGCGAGGAGATTGGACCTAAGATGCTACTGACAGGCTCTTGCGTGTGTCCTTGCTCAAGAGGAGCGTCAATGGTCGAAGGATGCACCGGGCAACTCACCGGTGCTTGCGATTGCAGATGGTTCACCTAATGACGACACGAACCCTGTGCAACCCGTCAACAACGGCGACCCGAGTGAGAGCAAAAACCGGGAGCCCAAGAACGACGATGCCTTGCTTGAGATGCAGCTGAAAGTTCAAATACCTTACTGAGCACTGCAACTCTGGCACGCATCAAATCATCAGGGAATGCCTGCATAGAGTCGAAAATATCTGCCAGGACCTGCAGAGCCTGGCGAGGATCAGGATGATCAGGCATCCGGTTCTCATCGCCGACACGTTCATCCCAGCCGGGAGGGCAAGACCTGCCCTACCTGCTCCAAAGGCACCTTGTCCAAGCTGCAGCTCGATCCCCGCGGTTGCTTCAAACATCGTTGCGTGTGGATGAACCCTCATCATCTACACCCACTCTTCACCGAAGGTCAATCACCGCAGGCTCAGTCCGTCCAAATGCAGGCTGTTCATATTCTGCTCCAGTTGCACAGGATTCCCCAGAGCAAGATCCACCTGCTTCTCGATGTCAACCATAAGGCCGTTGAGGACATGGAGAAGAAGATCTGCAAGCTGAGGCAGGAGTATGTCGAAAAGAAGGAAAAAGAGATCATGCTCGGGGATGGGAAATCCTGGAAGGACATCGAGGCTGATGAGTCAACGGGATATGGCAGTGGCAATGCCCGATATTTGCCCACAAGTTGCCCGGGACCACGGGGAGAACCCTCAAGGTCAAATCCGGCACAAAGATCATCGACCGCTGCTGGCGATTTCTCAAGGAGCGCGTCCTTGTCAACCAGCACACAAAAGTGGGCAGATCCCCACTCCGAGCAGGCCAGTACGAGTATTGGAACCGAAACGCTGACCTTTGGGTAGGATGCGGTGACCTGTGTACTTGCTTTATGAAAAAGTTTGTGTCCTACCCAAAAGCTCTCAGATCTTGGACCCCGACTGGCTTTCCATATCTAAAGTCCCTATCTATAGGGTTCTTCTTGGTTCTTGATTTTCTTCATAGGAACCCCTTGCCCAAAAGCTCTCAGATCTTGGACTCCGATTGGTTTTCCATATCTAAAGTCCCTATCTTTTGTGTGATTTATATAGTATTCTATATGGGGTTCTAAAAGGTAACCTATGAGGTATTAAATAGGTTTTCTACATGGCATACACAACGTATACAAGATGTATCATATGTGGACGGTCTTCTACAATGTATTCTACAGGATGTTCCAGATGGGAAACTATAAGGTACCGGGTGTGTCAGTGGAATTGTATACAATATTTTGATAAAGTAGTCTAAAAGGTATTCCATGGGTTATTCCACAAAGTATTGCAGAAGATATTTCGTAGGATATGTATAAGGATTGTTTTATAAGGATTCTGCTCTCTACATGTATCCCTTACTAGATAAGCTTCGATTTGCTCAAGCACTTCCTCCTAGATCCTATGTTTAGGGGTTTCACATAAACCCCTTACCCAGTAAGCTACACATGCAACTGGGGAACTCGAAGATTTTCGGTATACAAGGTAACAGGGTGGTATTCTATAAGGTTGCCGTGTTTCACATCAACTTCTTTAAGGTTTGTAGCAGGGTATTCTGTGAGGTTATATACAGGCTGTTCTCTTTTATTCCTCATGTCTTTCGTAGAAATCCTTTGCTCAATAAGCTACAAGATTGGCTCCTCCTGATTCCCCCCATATAAATCCTGATCAACAGAATCTCTTTCGGATATTCCAATGGCTTTCTCGAAGGTATATATAAAGTATACAGGGAACGTCGTGTATAGGATTGCTATAAGGCATTCTATACAGTGTTGCAGATGGTATTCCAGAGGCTTATTTAGGGTATACAAGAGAAAAGCAAGGTATGCTCTGGAGTATAAAGATTGAGTTCTACTGAAATGAAACTGAAACCCAGCCCGAATCAGAGATCAGAGATGTCACCGAAAAGTTTTCCAGGGCATGTGACCTTTGATCCGGGCCGGATCAGTAAATACTTAATTATACTGGGCATCATCCTGCATACACGGTTCCTTTCGGATTATATAGTAATGTTCGTATACACTAATCCGCGTTTGCGCGCGTGTGCGTGTGTGTGCATGTGTGCTGACGTGTGGTAGCATACATGCCTACAGACAGGTTTCGACACTTCGGAAAATATCAGAAAATATCAAGAATATCAAATTTGATATTTCTCGTTGCTTTGAACATGTGTACTGACATGTGGTAGCATGCATGTCTACAGACAGGTTTCGACACTACGGAAAATATCCAAAAATACAGAGCACCTACAAAGCAATGTCGGAGCCTCCATTAGGAATGACAGACAGTAGGATGCATGCCGCTGTAAGATTGACCGCTGTGCAGCCAGCAAGACTCGTAATTAAGAGGTCAGAGACTCGGTGTGTGTTATTTGCTGCATGTGTGTGTGTGTGTGTGTGCGTGGGTGTGGGTCGACGATTTGTCGAGATGGATGTGCCTAGCCGGGTTATCCTAATACCTACTGTGTATATATATATATATATTATATACATATATATATATATATATATATGTATGTGTGTGTGTGTGTGAGCAAGAACGTGGAACCAGCAGTTAGAGATGCTACTGCTAAGACTTAAAAGCAACTGGGTACACAGCTAGATGGCAAAAAGTGGGCGGCTAGCCTTGAAATGCGAACTGCCACCAGCAGAAGCCATCGAGTCTGAGCCACACCCGAAGCCGGTTGGTAGTAGGGAGTAAGGAGGTTCATTGATTTAGGTTTGTGCTTACAGAGACTGTTGTGTGCGGATTGGTAGGCTCTTTGGGCCTGCAGGGTTTTGGGGCTGGGGAATTCGGCAGTCAAACGTACTGTTACTTTGGTTTGAGAGTTAAGGGAAGCGAGCAACGGGGTCGAGGTCGCGAGTCACAGTCGGCTGCCACTTCAGAGTTGCAGGGAGTTTGCAATGATGGTAAGGACGGTTCGCAGTAATAGCGATGAGTTGCTACATCAAACACGGCGGTACTGTAAGCACACAATTCTCCAGAAAAGTTCCAGACGATGCCTCCAGCGTTTGGCATGATGCTTCACGTGGGTCAGTTGTGTCCGCGATCACGACTCGTGTTTGGAGACGTTGGCAACGAGCTGTGCAGGCTGTCTAATGAGCCCGTTCTCTGCAGCTCTGAGGATCGGATCATTGACATCATGCGCTACGAAGACAAGCTCGATGACTTCATCATCGGCCGCTATGCTGTGTTTGACTCGACGTCCTTGTTTCACTCCGCGCTCCCTCCGACTCATGAGCCCACGCTCAAAACAACCCTGCTGAGTGCACTCAGGACAAATGAAGTTCACGGTCGCAGGGGAAGGGCGATCAGTTTCCTGGGAGCCTTTGTCAGATGAAGTCAGAACTTCTAGATGTCAGACTCGCCCTTTGTTTCGATGCCTTTGCATATGACTTTAGTGCAAGAGTGCATCTGGCTAGGCACCTTCCTGGCAGCATACTTTCACGCATGCCCCGCTACGTTTCCCTTTCCTGACAACGAGCCAAGCTGAGGAAAGCGTCCACAGGCAGGGTGGGCGCCAGAGCAAACTTGCACAGCTTGCGTTGCGCTACTTCATGCTACTCCCGGCAAGCTGCATCGTCAGGAAGCTGCATGAGCGGCAGCGCTTCTCGCCGCCCCCCATCTTTGACGTCATGAACTTTGGGCAGAGGCCATTCCTAGATGTAGGGTGCGATTGGATCTGGGCAGTTGAGACATGATAACAGATACGAGCTGCAGTTTGTTGAAGAATCTGATTCTACCGGACGAATTCCACTGCACCCGAAAATATCCTGCACCCAGCCCTGCCATTTGAATGCCTCCATCATTCGAGGAGCTTGGAACGCGATCTGGGCAGCTGTGGCGGCAAGCAGCATCGTTGTCCGCCCATTTGCGCCCATGCGATTCCCGAACGTGCAGCTGTTTTGGTGCAGCGAGGCATTCTACCGACAGACACGTGGCCGTGGAGCACGGAGGCAAAGCTGTCAAATCATAAGCAGTTATAAGTTTTAAAGTATAAGTTTGCCTGGGTGGTCATGCTCGGTGTCTTCAACAGGCAGGGACAGAAGGCAGCATCTGAGGTCTGCACGTTCCTAGTTGATGATTTGTCTTTACAGTTTTCCGAGTTGCTGCTTTCGGAAAGCTGCCGTGTGCTGTCATGATGCCCAAGACACTTTGCTGCACTGTGTAGTGTCAGAGTTCAAGCACCATTGCATTGATGTGGTCGCAGGTTCAGTGGCGGCTCAACGCCTTTGCACGCGTCGTGCCTGACAAGTCCGGTTTAAGCAGGGTCGACGGCTGCAAAACGGGCAGGGTAACCGCACACTCCCAAGCGGTGGCTGTGAAGGAACCACTGGCTAGTTCCATTGTGAGTGTCAATCGTGGCTGAGGCAACCTGGCATCTGGGGACTTGCCCAGACCCTTCGTGACGCCATACATCCCTGGACTTACAGCTGCTGCCTCAGGTGTTTGTGGGCAGCGGGTCAAATTTCAGGAAGCCGAGAGCGCCAAAGCTCGAAGTTGGATGGCACCCTGATCATTGATGTCCTCCCTTGTCGTAGATGGATGAAAGGTGCTGATCCCCCACTATGGAGAGCAGATCCTGCTGTGCAAGAAGGCCAGCTTACTCCGGAGCCTGCCGGGGTGCAGCAGTTGAGCCACATTGGGGGCCATTGCCATTGCTGGCCGTTGTGGCTTTGGACAGTCCGAGACTTTGGCCTCCCTTCCCGTAAGAAATCGTAATAACCCTAGACCCTAAACCCTAAACCCCTAAACCCCCAAAACCCTAAATCCCTAAACCCTAAACCTAAACCCTAAACCCAATAAGCTCAGTTGCCCTAGTCCTCTAATCCGGTCAGGACCTCCATCCCGACGCTGCTCCTCGGCAGGCCAGGTGTGCCCTTGGAGCAGGGTACAGTGGCTGGCATTCGGGTGCAAAAGTCATGAATGGTCGGGGTTAATGTTGTAATACTGAAAAAACTCCAATACACTCTGAAAAAACTCCCATGCTATCTCAAGGACGCTCTCCAGTCGACGGAGAGATCATCTGAGCTTCTCGAAATGTCCATCTCGGATCACTTTCTGTGTGATAGTCCTGATAGCCATAGTGGAAGTCCCGAACCCCACGAGCCCCTGAGTCTGAGCTGAATGCCAGATCTGGCAGGGCCGACGACGCTCCAGTCAGGTGGAATTTGGCGGCAGCAACTCTGGAGAGGAAGTTCCCTTGATCTCCTGGCTTGAGAAGAGGCGGGCTTTAGGGCTTCTAGGGCCAATACCCCGGATCGCTCAAACAGACTGACAGGGTAAAGCAGTTCGGCTGCATCTTCCCAAGCAGCCTTTCAATCATGTGCTCAAGCCCTGGAAAGGTACCACGATGACTTTCTGGCTTTCACCTCCCGGACGAAGGGCATAGATCCCTCGTGGCCCGACGCCGGAAGCCGATGGTCCCACGCCGGCATTTTGGCGTTTGCTTGGCAAAGCAGTGTGACTCTGCGAGTTGATTCAGCCACGTCCCAGATCGCCCTGGCCCGGATGTGGTTGTTCTAGGAGGCATGTTGATTAAGTTGGCAAGCCTTGATGTTATCCCGATCGAACACACCCGAACGCAGATAAGCCTCAGGACCCCCTAACACAAGAACAGCAATCTCAATTGCACGTTTCGGGTCAACGCCTGAAGGCCCTGAACCTCAACATCACATCAGAGCCTTGAGTTCCAGACTTCCCCCAGGGATCAGTACACGGACCCGGCCCATTGGGAGAAGCTCTGCGGGTGGGCCTCGATGCGCTCACAAACGCTTTGGCGAACTGTTGTGGGTCTCATGTGGCTCGGACCTTGGACCCAGACGTTTGCTGGTCAGTGCGGGGCTTGTTTTTCATTTGCCTGCCTGGTCTGTGCCTGCGTGTGTGTACTTCCACACGGGGACGGTGTTCTAGTTGCCGAGCATCAGGGTGACCATGCCGTGGTAACTCACAGCTTCACAGCCTAGGTACTATCTCCCCGCTCTGGAGTGCTTCCATCAGATGGTCAAGGAACGGAACAAAGACTCTGCTATGGCCGCGGCGTGGGATCCAACTGAGGCGGATAATGCCCCAAGCAATGAAAGCGAAGGTTAGAGGTCATAGTTTTGCTAGGCTTCTGCAGTGCTTCGTTGCCAGCAACTCATTTTCGGTTTCTGGCGATGCCGGGTCCAGGTCTTCACCTGCATGGTTTCGATGCAGATGTACGCGTTCTTCGAGGACCCTGACATGAACTGTCCAGCCTCAGTCTGCTTTTGAGAGGCAAGGTCGTAAATCTGCGCAGGATGTGCAGTACGAGCATACGGAGATCCTGCTCCGGAAATTCCCAAGGACACCTGCTGGGCCATGGAGTGATCAAAGCCTGCAGCATGTGGATTCTGGTCACAGGAGTTTCCAGATAGCCTTCATTGACCACGAGGGCAAAGGAGAAGCTGCTGTCCGGGACTGTGTCCACCCAAAGCAGCAGAGACGCCACTCTATCTGAATTTACACCGAGCTGCAGCAGTCCCAAGTCGCTGTGACTCCGTGGCAGGGCAAGAGTCTGCCTGAGACTGATTGCATGCCATCTTCACAAGTCTTGCTTTCGTTTTTCTCTCTCTGACTCTCTCTCTCCCTCTCCCTCCATGTGATCAACTCAAGAGCTGAAGGCTACTACAGCTGCCTGATTGATGAGAGCTGTGCCATGGAGGCGCGTTGTGCCAGCGTTGTCCCTGTGCTCCGCAGCTGAAAGGATTCCCATGCTGTAGCCAGGCCGAGAATCCGAAACGACGGAAGCCGCGCTTGAAGATCGAGCTGCCAGGTGACTTATCCGAAATTGACGAAATGGGTTGCATGGGGATCTGCGATTTGATGTGGCCGAGTGGGCTGGCCGGTTGCTGTCACGGCGCTGACATGTTACAACTCCCGTCGACGTACATGAGGAACGAGCAGACCTCGCTGCGGCAGAGTTTGCATGCTGAGGCTTCCCAATACTTGGGGATGGAAAGGGCGACAATCAGAACCACGCGAAGCTGTTCTGCACGCAGATGATCTGTGCAGTTGGCTTGCGGTTTCTTGCATCCCGAAGAAATCCGAAGCACATGTGATCAGGATTCGGCCCCAGCCCCAGCCCCCCCTTCCAACAAAAAAGTGTGGTTGTGGGGGTGGTGCGCGGCGTGCGCTTTGGTTTCACCAGGAACCGGAGCACAGATCATGTATGCCACGATGGTCGATGTGTTTAGGATTGGCAGGCTGCGTTGCTCCCTTTTTCGCCAAACCATGATGGCTCCGTTTGCATTGCTTTGGGTGGTTGCACGTCCTACCAAGTGTACCCGTTGCTGTGTCGCGCTTCAACCCTTCAGTCAGGGTCAGTTCGTAGCAACCAGGTTTTGCAATGCGAAGGAAGTCGGATCGGAAGTAGCGGCAGGAGCTGGTACAGAGGATTCGAAGCTTTGCAAATCTGAGGATCGTTTTTACACGTGGGTCGATCATCCAGGCCCCGTGCGCAGTCTCTGCGTCTGTGGCTCTCTGTCAAGTTCCCCCCACCCCCATTTTGGCGAGGCCATCGATGCCAACCAGGGTGGATATTTCGAGCAAATGCTGCTGCACCTTGTCGGCACATCTACTGGATCTGGGCTCGCTCGAAGGCCGTAAACCTGGCACTCAGGCTTCCCTGTGCGCTGGGGGAGTTCCGCAGGCGAGACCGCAAGATGGGAGGCCAGCCTCTCAGAAGTCAGCTTTGCATGCTTTTGCATTGATCGTAGCAACGTTGCCCCCTTTGTTCTGTTCGTTCTATCTCCTGACTGTGCACTTTTCTCGAGCACTCGAGTCGAAAGCAAGAGTCTTGCTGCGAGGCTCTGCTTTATGCATGCATGCATGCATGCATGCATGCATGCATGTGGGAGAGCCGCGACAGAGACGCCCAAGGTCTTGAGCCGCGGATCGTGGGCTTCGCAGAGCACATCACAAGCCCCTTGGCTGCACGTGCTTGGACGAGTCGAGGCACGGAATCGGTAGGGATCGGCTCCCATTCCAGCGTCCGGAGTGCAGGTGACATCGGTTCACTCGGTGACTTCGCGGCTGGTGCTGAGACTGCATTCGGCACTGTGCTGCAACGATCCTACGTGACTTGGAGAACACCCAGGGTGTCAGAATGTGGTGATTCACAAGGGCTGACGTAGACTTCAGTACACCTGTAGACTTCAATATTTGCTCACAATTCAGGCTCTTCTGGGAGCGCGCATGCACTACGGACATCCGGAAGCTTGGCTGTGAGGTCGACTCACAAGCTTCCTCTTTCACCGTTTCAATTGGTATTGCTGGGTTCAAGTTGAGGCTGTGCGCGCCTGAAGTCTATGGTCACTGTTGGGCCAGACACGAGGCTGTCATGCCTAGAGATTTCTGCCAACATCTTCAGGAACATTTAGGCTCTACAGAGAGATAGAGAAAGATAGCGCGGATGAGAGAGAGCCCAGAGGTAATTAGGTGAATCAGACCCAACAACCAGTGCGCGCCCGCGCACCGAAGAGTTCATGTCTGTGTGGAAGAAGGTAGGTGAAAGAACACGTGAGAGTCCGCGCGCCAATTGTCAGTGGCCTTATGCCGCCAAGAAGAAGAGGGAGCAAACAAAGAAGGATAAGAGAGCGACGGTGACATAGCAAGCAACCTGGCCACCCGTTGCAGAAAGAAAGGGCGAGCAACCCAGGACATGATGAACAAGGAGGTCATGATCCAGCAGGGTGGCATCTCGAAAGCCACGAAGACGGTCAACTTGTCCGAGGATTAATCTGGTTAAGTTCGCAAGTTTGGCTTCGGCTGTGGATTCTTTCTGGTCCCGCTGTGCTCCATTTCTTCACAGCTTCTGCAACATACAGAGATTTGGCATTCGAGTTCGTCCCGAATTTGGAGGAAGCATGTTGCCGACAGGTGCCGCAACACATGCTAGAAGTCAACTGATGCGGCATTCTGCAGGACATATTTGCCGGGATGGACCTCACGCTGCGCGGCAATGGACGCAACATTGTCCACCGTGAGCATCTGGACGGCTAGCAGACCTTTTGTGGAGCAGATCTTTCTTTGTTCAGTTTTCATTTTGCTCTCGTTAATCATGTTTCTTCAATGTTTGTTCAGGTACCTGCATGTGGCCAAGGGCAGAGACCTGGGCTTCAACACAGCGTCTGAGATGCATGTGAGAGCTCCGATGAACGGTAATTAATAGCTAATGACAGTTAATGCAGCTGCCATGCAGCCGGTGCAGAGGTTGCCGTCATGATTCCCCACTATTTTGCCGGCATGGATGCATGTACCAAGATTCTCACCTTCTTCTCCAAGCTTTCGGCCGGCACGGGCGAGCAGATGCTGACCCGGCAGATGGCACGGCTGGGGAATGAGCTGGCTCTCGACTCAGCAGTGGCTGCAGGGTCTGTTGCTGCTTCCAGCACTGCTGTAGCAGTAGTGACGTATAGTTCGCTCAGCAAGTCAAGACTAGCTTGACAGGTCCAAAGTTGAGACTTTCAGCAAGAGAAGTCGGATATACCGTAGCCCCTGGCAGCATCTATGTCTGCTAGAACATGCAGACAACAACGAGCAGCTTTGACACACGTCATGCGCAAGACTCCGCCGTCCACCGTGCTAGACCTCGCGATGCAGCTTCCTGACAGTTCACGCTGCACTGTTTTGAGGACTTGCCTGAGTTTCTGACGCCTCTCGCCAGCAAGCAGTTTCAGGTAGTTCTGGGCACTCAGACAGAGCGACAAAACCGCCCAAGCAGACACAGTCGGTTGGCCCCAACCAAGTCTTGGCCCTACCTTCTGTCATTCTTTCAGCCCGACTTTGCTGCCTCTCATTGCTGAGAGGCAAAGCCTGCCAAGGTTCTTCTATGCACATGCCGGGTACTACTTGACGCAGTTCTTCCTCTCTAAAAGCCGCTTGCCTTCGTAGCGATTCTCATCCGAGGGATGCAGTAGTTTCTGCATAAGCAGCTCGATGTAAACATGCACGCAGGCATGCCGGCACTTGGCATCTAGACATAAATACGTATGCCCCTGGTTTTGACAATCCGTCTACTCGCCTCTTCATCTTTTTTCCATGCTGATGGCTCTTCTTGTGTGATTCATTTGAAGCTGTTTTCTGTCAGTACTTCTGTGGGTCTTGTGCCCTGCTTGCTTTCTTTTGCTCTCTCTCTCTCTATCTTATCCGCTTGACTTGTCTTCTCTATCTCTCTGTCTCTCTCTCTCTCTCGCGTGTGTGTGTGTGTGTGTCTCTGTGTATGTGTGTGTCGGACATCAATGCCGGTGGGCATGCAGGCTGGCGACAGTAGGTGTGTCACTTGCCCGTCCAGCCGTTTTCGCCTTCTCGCCGGCTGTTGCCAGATGAGCAAGTTTTCTTAGGTGGGTGAGACAGCTAGAGCTAGCATATCATAGATGAAGCCGCGAGCATGATCAGACCGAGAGGCGAGACAGAATGAGAGAGGTGGGGGTGACCCACGAGGCTCTGACAAAACATTCCAGATCTTTGCATTATGATGGGATAGTCAGATAGAGCTGGCAGATGAGTTGGGTGGGTTGTGCGGCACCTCGTGCAGTATCCGGTACCGAGGTATTCCACTGCTGGTCTTCATTTGGCTACTTGTGGTTCTCGACGACCCGGAGCAGAATTTCCCTGCCATGAGTGCAGGCTGGCACCCCCAAGTCCTCAAATCGAAAGGTCCGATCAGTCTTCAAGTGTTGTTGCCGATGTACTTGCGATAGCCCGGCGTGACGAGCCTGTGCCTGCGCCAGATGACAAGTCCGAAACTGGTGCCAAAATCGTCGCACGCATGCTCATCACCCAGTACTCCTGGCATCTTGGTCAAAGGAACAACTCTTGAACCTGACTCATGCATCCTACACCCAGCCACTGTGCCTCAGAGCCATCTCAGGCTCCTGATGCTTTTCATCGTCGCGCAGACAGCCCCCTTGGCCATGCAAGCCCGAGTCCCAGAGGCTCGCAGAAGACGAGATGTTGTCTCAGTTAGGCTGCAAAGGCATGCACAGGCTTGCGCCGGGTTGGCCAAGGTCTGGCTGGAGAGTAGCTCGGTCGCGGCCATCCTTCGTATACTCAAGCAGAGCCTTTGTCTGAAATCATGAGCTGCAACTCTGAAAGCGTCGGAGCATCAACTATTTTCCTTCTGGTAGGCTTTTGAGAAACGATGTGGCAAGGAGTCTTGACACTAGATTTGTCCGATGAGCATTCCTGCCAAGGGCACATGCTTTCGTTGCGATGCCAGGATGGTTACCCTCGCGCCGTTGCATTTCATCTTCCAGGCACCTGCCCTTGCCAGGAGACGGCCAAAGGGAGATGTATTCAAGAGCCCTGCAAGACTTCCGTCATCCAAGAGACCCTCGAGAATGGATGCGTTGTATACATGCCAGGCATGCGAGTCCTAGAGGCAAGCCAGGCCTTGCAGCATCAGCCAGGCGAAGATCATTGGCACCTACCTCACCAACGAAGTTACGCTTGGAGGCCAGTTTTTGTCGTTTACGCGTAGGTCAGCGGTGGATGAAGTATGCATGCTGTCGCTACTTATCAGGAGGGAGTAGGTCCAGAGGCTTCGAATCATGTTGTCGAGCTGACGCACAGCCAGTCAGCTCACAGGCCTTTGCTCCAAGTGTTTCTGGTCAGGTGCAAAGTATCTCCCAACAGGAAGAGGCTTGCCCACGGAGCGCCGGGCTTTCCTCCGTCGAGCCTCAACTTGTGCAGTATGTTTTTTTCAATGTCAATTTGTGCCATTTGAGAGCCCAGGCCATCCTGATGGAATCAGGATGGCCGTGCTACTGCAGTGCTGCACATCTTGCATTGCCACACGGAGCCGTGCAAAGTCGAACGCAAGCAGTGCAGCCAAGGCGTTGATGGCGACAAGAAGAAAGGCGCACATGGAAGCATGCTGTGCGGGTTTTCTTTTCCTACGGTATGAATTACGATTCTAGCTACATTGTTTGAACCGGGACAGCATTGTACTGCAGGTTTTCCATGGGGCTTCTTACGTGCAGTTAGTTGACACTCGCGAAACGGATGTTGGTAGGTGGTGGAGGTGGCCTGTACAACGACTATGCCACCCTGGCGCTGTACGACGGTGCCTTGTGTGCGTGTGGCCGAGCGTCTGAACATGTCTTCAAATTGCAGGCTGAGACCTTAGACTTAGAAGCCGAGCCAACACGTGCTCCCATAGGAGACACCCCCTTGCCTGCAGCTGCAGATCCCCCCGGAGGAGCGCAGCTGCTGATCGCCTCGGTCATGGTGCTCTGTGCAGGCCATACAACTTGGCTGGCGCGACTGAGCGAGCTTGTCCAGTGGTGAAGGTGGCTTGGCCGTGGAGCAGTCCCTGGTCTGGTGGCTCGTTGCCCTCGGCCTTACTATCTGTTCCTCGGAGCATTTGGCCTGACTTCGATTCCTCTTTGTGGCTGTGCCATGGCTGTCCCTGACCACATTCAGGTTCTTGGCTCCTGGCACCTTTCATATTCAACCCGTACCAGTGCCCTGGGTGGCAAAGGTTCATTGAATGCTGAAAACCGCAGCGAATAGTGAGGGTGGCAGAGTAGATTCTGACAGTTTGGCTGTGATTGTTCAACATGGGTAGTTGTCAAAATTATGGTCCCTTTTGGGGTACCCTAAATAATAGGTGCCGTATGATAATAAGGACCCAAAAAGGGGACCATAATTTTGACAACCACCCACATGGCCAGTGCCTCTGGATCTGCTTCTCTGAGGTTTTCCTACACCCATTTCCGGTCTGACCTCAAGGAAGTCGGGGAATGCTTTCATGGAGTGCGCAGAGTAGGAGTGGCGGGACAGTAGGAGAGTTTTCAAGAGCAGCTGTCCTCGCCTCTGGGCTCTGAGACCCCATGCCTCAACGAGGCTGACACCGCTGCGGCCCGGATTTAATACTAATATTAACATTCGTATTAATACTAATACCAATATTAATACTTAAATTGAATCGCAAGCTGGTGCTCTGCCAGGACTGGAGAGATTTCTTCTTCCAGGATGGAGGCCACTCGCAGTGAAGATCTTCAGTCAAAGCTCCGGTGTGACCTGGGACATGGACAGACAGGAATTGAAAGCTCGAAAAGAGGTTTAGCACGTCCTCAGAAATGGGTACCTATGAAGCCACTAACTAGCAGTTGACAGCATCGGTCGGTTTTGAGCTGCGGCAGCGTGAACCCACCACTCGGAACGTTCTGCCTTCAGGCAAGCACTGGGCCTTCTGGTATGCCGAGAATCCCAAGAAGGCACCATTGCCTGATCTGGGCTCTTCCAGTCTGAGCGCATCGGATGCGCTGACTGTTTCAGAACACAGGCATGTAGCAGTATGTCAGCAAAGACCCCAAGCAGGGCAAGAGCATCGGCAGTCAAGCCCAACATGCCCAACAACCACTCCTGCTGGAGTACGCCTGGCCCGCCCAGAACAAGCCCCGCACCGGGCATGAGCACGATTTTTACGAGGCGGAAGCATGAGTCGCAGCATGTCGCAGCCAAACTTTTCGGGGCGCTGTAGCGGGAGCGCGATTTCAAGGGGCGGACGCATGTGGGACTGGCACACTGGCGGGAGCGCGATCTCGAGCTTGGGACATGGCACGCTGCCTGGGAACAAAGCAGCTAGCAAGCCAACCGCCGTACGAGAAGAGTCAAGAGAAGAGCAGATAGCGTCATTGCTATTACACCATCTCTGACCATCTGTCTCTCTCTCTCTCTGTCTCTCTCTGTCTCTCTCTCTCTCTGTCTCTCTCTGTCTCTCTCTCTCTCCACCTCTCAAACTCAAACTCTTTCTTCCGTTGGAAGGCCGACACGCGCCTGCGCATTGGTGCGGGCTTGCGGACCAGCTCCATGGAGGCCTCGGCGGCCTCCCGCAGCCCCGCCCCTGCCCTGAGTCTCCCGCTTTTCTGCCTATCTTCTGCTTTGTGCTTTCTTTGAACACATCTTTTGGCCTTGCTGTTTGTCGATTGTCCCTCGCCGCGTCTGTCTCAGACTGCGTGACTGCGTTGTAATTCCCACGGTGAAGCTTTCTTTTCCCTTCTTACTTGAGACCTGGGTAGCATAGCAGCCGGATGAAGCATTTTGCATGTCGGCATCGCACTCAATCGCATTCTTGAGTTGATTGCTACTGGTATTGGGGGTGATGCTTGCTTATTTTGACGGCTAGCATTGTTCCATCCCTTACGCAGGCTGGGGGAGGGTCCCTGCAGGTCCTCAAGCGGGCTCTGTTCCTGGGCTGCTGGTACACCATCCTGAATCAGAAGGCCAGGTTTCGGGGATTTGTCAGATCGAGCATGACCCACAAGATCTCGTGTTCAAGCAAGTCTTTCCTGACTTGCTATTTCTTGGCTCTTCGGGTCTGCAGATTCAGAAGAGATCTCGGTGCTCTCGCTGCCGGTGACATTTTGCCATGACCGACTCATGCATAGAACAATGCCCCGAGGCTTCTCCTACCAAGGAAAAGAATCAATCGCATACAGCTGCGTAGTCCTCGGCGGCCCGCATTTCCCTGCACGCCTGGTGGCTTCCCCGACTCGGACCCCCCAAAACAGGCAATGGCCGGGAGCTCTTAGTCCGAATAGCCCTTGAAAGCCAGCTAGTGAAGCCGGCAGATTTGTTCCTGGATGTGTCTGCTTTACCAGGTGCACATGCTGACGGTGATCTTTGAAGGCCCTGTAGGGAGAAGCAGTTTCATCTGTTGGTGTGAGCCTTATGTAACTCAGTGGGACATTGCAATAGGTACTTTCCGATCCGCCTTCAGCATCGCCCTAGTCGTCATGCCTCCGGTCGGCATGTCGATTGTCATCTGCGCGGCTTCTCGGCTAATTCAGTCAACTGGCAGTTCCGTCAAAGCCTGGCTGGGTTTCGGTATCATGGAGCCGAGGTCCTACCTCAAGCGTCTCAGCTGCTCGGATGCGACGACACGCGCGTCACTTCGGAAGCACTACTGTTAGCTCACGTCCCAAACATCTCCAGCTCCAGGGTGTTGCAAGCACTGTAGGTATCAGCATCATGTCGGAGCTTCCAGCGATTTTACGAAGGGTTGTCCCGTACTCTTCCGGTGCGTTCGAAGGTGTAGCGCACTTCGAACTCAAGCCTCCTAGCATGCCAGCCTCAAGTTTTGGTGACTCCAAACAGGAGCTCCACTATGGTTGGAGTGCCTTGCTGGTGGTCTTGGCTGACTTGGCAGCTTGGGCTGAAAGTTGTGACCCGACAGACAGCCAATCCCCACTTCGAGCATCCAGAGAGGCATTGCACGGGCCCTTAGAACCAGTATGAGCGCCATGCGACGAACCGGAATCCATTCCAGGTCGAGACGTTCTGCTATCTGTGGAAGCTTCTGAGCCTGCGCTGGTGGAAATCCTTCACCATCGGCATTCTTCTGACTCTTGGATTTCCCCTTCAGGTCCCTTGCGATGCAATTCCCGTGGCTTCCTTTCCTGCTAATGCCACCGGCACAGGATGTCATGGCTACCTGACTACGACATTATTCCATATGTGAGAACTACTGGCAGGCAAATTGTCGAGGCCTTGCTCGTGCAAAAGCAACATCATATTATATGTAGAAACAGAAGCATATCCATCTGACAATGAACCCACAAAGCTGGTAAGGGTTTTAGATGCACCACGGCTCATAAGTCAAAGCACATAGCGGAATCTTAAGCCCTCAAAGCCGGAGATCTTTCCCGAGGAAATTCTCGCTGCTCTCCCTGTGTCTGGAACTGGTGGAGTGCGCATTCCGTCTCAAAGGTTCAGGCAAGGAGACTTGGAAGCTGGGAACCTTGACCCGTTTTAGGGTTCCTTATTATGATTTCCTTATATTAGTCCTTCAAATCAAAAGGTAGGTGATTTGGGGTCGTGTCAGCTATTGCCCATTTGGCAAGGTTTCGCAGCTTCCGTCCGACAGACTCCAGACAAGCTGGTAAGATGGGTGATGCACTTGCCCTACGGTATTGTGTTCTTCCATTTCCAGACCGTGCAGGTGCTCCGTTGCCAGTGAGGCGGCGTGCCAAGCTGTGGCTGCTCCTTGGCTGCGTGCAGTTTTCGCCTTTGTTGGCCAACATCTTTCCATGCATGCCAGAGTTGTCAAGCTAGCCCCAATTCACCAGCACTGTGCAGCCGAAATTTGCGGAGCTCGTATGGAGGTACGGCCATCGAATGGCACAGGACTTGGCTGTTTCATCGCTGATCTTCGGCTTGCTCTCAATCGGTCCGTGCCTTAATTGGGAAGCCAAGCCTGGCTGAAGCAGGAAACCTGCTCGCTGCTTTCTGTAGGTACTTTCTTCGATTGCATCAAGGCGAAGGTTTGTGGCTGCAAAGGCCACGTGACGGTGTCGCGAAAGAGCACTGATGGCTTCATGGGCTTCGGGATGCTCTGCAGGCTGTGGGCTGCACAACATCCTCGTGTATCGCGACCCGGGAGGTGTTCACAAGCGACAGGCCGCGGCGAAGTTAGTCCTCACCGCTTGTCATGCGGTTCCGGCTGACAGGTAATCCGTCGGGCGCAAAACGCCGGAGAATTTACTGAAGCAGGCCACAAGCTCGACTCCCGTGAAGTCTGATTCCAACTGTGCACATAGGCAGTATGCAGCTCAGGAGAGACAGGATTTGATTTTGCACGAAGGTGGAGACGAGCCGCCGGCGCTGGCGCCGCTCGAACTCGCCTTAGACTGGTTCTCAGTCTCACAGCTTAGCAGCAGGGGCCTAGCCTGTGATTGTGCAGAGCCATCCTAGGCTTGCTGTTTGCCAGCATTTACTGACCAGTCAGATTCTGTACTCCAGTCTTCCAGTCTTGAGAGGGGTATGGACCGCAGCCACCTCGGCTAAAAGGCTTTTAAATTTACGGCTGGGCAGAAAAGGATGCCCTGCTGGACGTCGCGCCAGGCAACCTGAAACCAGGTCATGCATGGCGCATGTATCTTGCCTAAACGATGTTGTGAGAGTGCATGTCGATGATGGTGCTTCTCCAAAGTGCAACATGTCCAGTCGCCGGAGATCGGAGCAGGAGCGAGCGAGCTGAACTGGGCGATACCCGGGTGCCACTCAGGCATAATGCGAGCAGCGGCTGTCCTCCTTGCGCTGTTTGTGCCATGGGCAGCATCTCAGGGAACATGCCAGGCGCCACGGGCGGGGCCATTAGGGCCCATGCAGGACCGGCCTTAAACGTCGCGGCTCTTCCGGATTCTGAGTGTAGTGGCGGCCAGGCTCGACAGGTAGTAGTAGCAGCCATCTGAAGTTGCTCATTTGGTATTGGGCTCCCAGTTGGCGGATTAGGCCGACCACGGCCAACCCTGCTGCATCCAGGTCTTGCCGTTAGTTGTAAAGAGGCATGTCAATGAAGCCGAGCTCGGGTAAGGACGAATTTGTCTAAGCTTGCAAGCTGTGGACACCGCAAGCAGGCAGCGCCCCAACTTGACCCCCCTTCCTGCCAATTTCGGATCGAAGCTCGCCCTCGCTAGGACGCCTCGGCCTGTGCCAGCATTCCCCAATGCGGTGACTGCGTTGCCCCTTGCCTCATGCACGTGGCTGAAGCTGTCGGGCAATGAGGCACAGAAGTGCAGTTGTGCACCAGTGGCCCCAAAAGAGTGCCACAGCAAGCCGGACCGGATTATGAAACGGGTTGAGTAGCGTTCTCAGATCGATGGCTGTAGCCATATGCCACTCAGGTGCACTGCAACTGTGGCGGAGCCCCGTCCTGCCTCGGTTCCAACACAACGCTCCGATGCCGCATGACTCCAGGAAGATGCAAGCATCAAGCAAGAGAAAGACTTTCGATGCAGTGCCCACCCCTCATTCCCAAAGGGTCGTACCCTGATTCTGAATGCAGGTCTGGGAGAAAACGATGCTGTCAGAAATCTGCCACCAGCTTCGCTGCCGAACGGCCAGTTCCCATTTGGGGCGCCTTGCACGCCCTGCATCACTCGACCTCGCTGCTGCCAGTTAAACAGTAAGTAAGACCGTAGCTTTTAGAGTATTCCTACTGCAATTGGTGATGATTGCTTGTTTCTTTCAGATGTGTCGGTGGGACGTTCTCGCAGAGCCCTGACTTGGCTGTCGTCGGCCGGGGTCCAGTCACATTTGTCTCGGCCACATCGGGTCTGTGCATCTCAGGTATGTGATTCTTCGGCAGATGCTGGAACCGTGGGACTGGTGGCACCGGAGCGGAAGGGTATGCTCAACCTTGAATCATGGTACGGCTAGCATGCCATGTCCGTTTGTGCACAAGTCCTTGCCTGGGATCCATGCTGCAAGACGAAGCATTTATGATGTGTGGTTGCTTTTGCCATGGCCAGAAACCCGTGTTGGCAGGATCACTGTGGGCTCAATCTCTGCTGCCCAGCCACTCTCTTTGCAGCGCCAAGGTGTTCTCGTAGAAGCCGCATGTTGGGTTTGGAGTACGTCGTATGATTTCCCCGTTCTGTGCGTCAGCCGTGCCAATTGCTTTTCTGTTCCGCTGTCAAGGAAAATCCTTTCGTGCCAGCTGGATGCCAGAACGAGCTCGACGCGCGGCTGGGGTTGACAGGGCAGTGCCAGGCGCTGCCCGTCAGATCCGTCAGACGTCCGCACGCGGAGATTCCGGGTGCGTTGTCATGTCAGTCTTTCGCCCTTTCTGCCAGGCCATGGTCGACAGTGGCTCTTTCTCATGTGAACAGAGCTTTTGCCCGACCTGTGGTGGCTGGGCTGTAGCAGTATGATGGGTTGCACACAAAACCATCCGGGCCATGTTTACCGTTGAGTTGCGAGCAGTCGGCCAACATCTGATTCACCATATTTGCTGTTGAGCTGTGAGCAGTCGTGGTAGCTGGCAGATGGCGCTCCCGCAAAGTAAACCTGGCTCCTAACGCAAAGAAATTACGCCACAGAGCCCTGCAGCTGCAGGTAAGCTTGCCGGCCAGTGCGACCATCTTTGTGGCTACGGACTTTGTTCTGCTGCCCAGCTCAACGCGAGCTTGTTCTTGCATGAGCAGCAATGCTCCGCATCGGGATGCTTGTTCCAGCTGGCACGTAGCAGTTATCTTGGATAATGATGTGATGCAGGTTTGTGGGGACTGTTTTCGCTCTGCCCGCCTGGCGGCGGGCCAGCCGGAGCCCTGCGACGATGGGAACGCCGAGGTCGGACTTCGCTTTGCCGGAACGTGGTCCACGATCCAGAGAGATTCATGATTTATCTCCAGGGCTTGTTTCCTGTTCATCGCGCATTCCTCAGCTCGGAGGAGGGAGATGGCTGCAGCAGCTCCTGCTTGGTGGAGGACGCAGAATGTTGCGGACACAACCAAGGGGCTGGGGCTGTGGACCACACATAGGTCAGAGGACTTCAATCGTCCGAGGGTCCCAGATCAAGGGCATTTTCAGAAACGCTGTGCTGTGCAGCTTGTGCGACTTTTTGGTGGTGAACAAGAGTGAGTGATGGAGCCATGGCCGCGTGCAGTTTGGCTGTTCAACATCGCTCGGAAGAGCAATAAATTGTGCTCAGCCTCTGTGGCATTTCGTGAAAGGTGTGAGTTGCAACCTAGTAGTTGAAGGACCATGTTGTGTCTTTGCGGATTGGCGATGTGGCTGGTGCAAATGAATCTGGTGCCTGTTGCAAGAACACCGGGCTACAAGATCTTGCCCTAGAAGGGACCACGCTGTCACGCTGTGCGCCACGAGCCCCCCCCGTGCATGGAGCCTCGACTGCTGAACTCTTCAGGATGGCTGGACCTGCACGAAAGAGGCCTTGCCGGGGTAGAGGCTGATCTTTACACAGGTGTCCGCGGAGCGCCTTGCAGCGTGGAGAATCTGAATGGGAGGATGATCTTTTGAGCTTACGAGCTTTCACCCTGCACATCTGCATTCTTGTGTTGCTGCCGGAGCGCCTGATCACCAACACCCATAGCTGGTTCCCCGCTTAGCTGGTGCCGCGAGGCAGTTCTTCTCCCGGATGCGGCCTTGGGAGGGGTGCAGAGACAAACGACAGTCGACAGGCACATCCGAAAGTCTGCCTTTTTGTATATTTTTGCATATTCAAAGCAGCGGTGAGAAGACCGGCTTTCCTTCAGGTGCACGACTTGTACAGACTCGCCAGTCGCCTGGACGGATAGCCAGGGCTACACCTGCGAGGACTTCGGCTGCTGCTTAGTTCGAGAGGCGTCTTTTGCTAGCCCGGCATGGATTCTCAGAACGAAGGTTGTTCGTACCCGTCAATGCGGCTTAGCAGTGACTACTAGGATATCCATGGCTGGCTTGAATGCAGGACTATGAAATGTTTGCGGCTTGCGATTCCGACTCACTGTCCTCGGATGCTCTGGTGCCTCAGTTTTTGACTTTGTGCGATGTGCCTGAGACATCGCATGCACTTGGAGAAGCAAGCATGTAGAACAGATCTGTTCCCGCGTTAGCGTGACGCTGCAGGTACTCGGCGGGCGACTCCGTATGACCCCGGAGTACTTCCAGTATCAGTTCTTGTACAACACTGACATCTCTCCAGGCAGCGTGTACCGAAGTGATTTCGTCATGAGCTGCGAGCGCAAGTTATTCACGTGTCGGGTGCTTTGCATGTCGGCAAGTATCAGCAGTGCAGCCGGAATGGAAATGTTGCCAACATCGCAGCTTGTTGGTCAGCAGGTTGGAAACTTGCTGTTGCAGGGATGGTCCGACTGTCTAGTTCGGACATGTTCGAACAAGGATTCATATGACCTCTGCAGCAGCCCACCTTAGGCAAGCCGCTCAAGATGTTGGTTTCCGTTGCGGCCGCGAATGACGCACACATCTTCCTGGGCAAGCCTGGCGAGAGCCATGACTTCAATGGCTTCTAATGGCTTTCTTTTGTCTTCGGCTTATGATCTTCTTCCGTTTAAAGTTCATATGCTCGCACAAGAGACTCTGACACCTCCTGTCACTCCTAGACAAGCACGACAACAAGGGGGTCGGACAACCTGGGCTTGTAGTTGGCTGCTGGAAATGACTAGGCTCAGGTCGTTAATGGGGTCATTGGGCTTCCTCTTCGGGTCTCAGGGCTTGTTGTAGCGGCACAGTGGCTGGGACATCTGGGCCGCTTGTCTCTCCCTTCCTCCCTTGCCCGGTCGTTAAGTTTTCTGGGCCTTTGTGGGCTTTCTCTTCGGGTCTCAAGACTTGTTGAAGGGGCACAGCTTGTCCCTCCCTCCCTCCCTCCCTCCCTCCCTCCCTCCCTGCCTCCCTGCCTCCCTGCC